TTTTCCGATATTAATTAATTATTTAGTGTACAAATAGATTTCGTATAAAAGAAAAAGTAATTTTTTAGAAAAAATAATGATAATCTCGGTGTTGTTAAGAGAGCCCTCGTAGCACCTTTAGCATTTGTCATATCATCATGCCTGAGCGCGCGAAATTTCAACTCTGTGATTAATCTATTTTAATCGCTACTAATTTGAAAACTATTATAGTCTCGACCACAGTATAACCAGTAGGTCCACTCAGCGAAAAACTGAGTCTTCGCGCAGGTATCGCCGCGCAACTTTTGTTTTGGGTTGGATCCAATGAAATGCAAGACGATAGGAACTTATGTACACATACATACATACGTATATGTACAGACAATTTATAAACAATTACATCAGAGATTTTCTTTAGTGATCACTCCTACGAATAATTGTTACAAATAAAACGTTTTATTCGATTCACACATTGAATTTATTGATTTACTGTATCAAATTCATATTATTATTTATCTGTTTTATTACTTGTGAGGCACTTTTCTCAATGTCGGTCCTGGATTTAACATATATATGGTAGATGCTCACGTGATCCGGAAAAGGAGATCAAAGGTGCCGACACGAAGTGGACCTACTGGTTATACTGTGGTCTCGACATTTTCGTATTAGGATTTTCGTCTTAGAATATTCTAAAGAATCCGCACTTAAAAGGAAATCCGCGAGTTTTGGGACACCCTGTATATATCTAGCGCGATGACATTTTATGTCTATTTCAATCCTGTAAAAGCGTTTTTAAATCCGTTTAGTCGTTTCGGAGTTATCCATTAGAATGCAAATGTCGGCATTCTAGCCTTAACGATTGCGAATTTTGCAAAATGGTAGAGGACTTTTCCATTCAGTTTAATCTGCTCTACCAACCCACGAGATTTTGGGCGGTTATTACCAGACACCCTGTATAATCATGGACCGCTAGTTGCCCCGTCCCACCACCCCTCTCACCTATAAGGTTATGTATCCAACACATGGTAGAAGGGATAGTATGGTGTGCTCAGTTCGGCCAAACTAGAGACTCTCAATCAGAGTCAAGCCAAAAGACGATTGGATCTAAATCCTACGAGAGAGAAAGGTAGTGTCTCTTTCCTTTTCTCTTTCTAATCTAACCTTTCTTGATGCGCTATGCTTGTGATTTTTTGCCACTGCAATGTATATGAAAGAAATTTCTACATCTAGTTATGATACAGGCGATAGATAATATTTATCAGGATTTTTGGAACATTTATTAAAAGAAAAAAAGAAAAAAAATCTGTGATCGATAAATGTCAAGAACTTATTGATGAGATTCTCCCCTTTAATAAAAATTCAGTACCATATTTGCCGCATTTACAATTAACTGTTTGTACAACGTAGCTGGGTATAACATTATAACATCTATTATTAAAACATGTACTACATGCAATAAATGTATGTAATCGATAAAATCGCCAATTCCATTACGTTTTTCATTTACAAAATATGTACACCCACGATCATTGATTCTGTCCCTCGGAAATTTTCACAAACTCTGAAGTGATCACTTTTCTACATTAATGCTTATAATCCATGCACGATTAACAAAACGAAATCGTGCATGGACTATAAACATTAATGTAGAAAAGTGATCACTTCAGAGTTTATAAAAATTTCCGAGGGACAGAATCAATGACCGTGGGTGTACAATTAAAATGTTACATTACAAATTCTTTATGTTTTGATAACATCAACACATTAAAAATGTTTATAACATTAGAACAAATGTTTCGCTATTATAGCAAATTTTTTAATGATTTTTAAAACATTAATTGGAAATTATTTTTAAGTATGTACACAATTTGCAAAAGTTTATGGTAGTCATATTTTGAATTGTCATGACATATATTTAAAAATTATAAGATTTGTAGTATTTAGATTAAGAATTTATAATAAAAAAAGCACTGTACGTAAGCAAATTTATGGCAATAAATCTATAATTATATATGCTATGTTTTCTTAATTCTTTTGTGATAAAATGTACTTTATTTTATTTTTGTCGAAGTTATGCGTTTATTGTCTTAATTTTTTGTGATGAAAAAAGTATTTTTATTAATGTGTGATATAATATTTTCATACAAGTTATGCAATATAAGACAAATATAATTAATGCTTTTCTTGCTACCAGTGCGAGTTCTGATTGGCTTCTGCTTTTCTGTTTTCCGCTTTTCTGTCAAGGTGTGAATTCGCCCTGAGGGTCTCTAGCCCCGACTAGAGTCCTAGATTATCAGAGAAGCGCGACCGGTGTTACGAGTCCTGATTGGACTCGCAAATGGCCAATCATAAGATTGATTTATA